AATCGACAATCGAGCTATAAGTGTGATCTAAATTTTTGTCCAGTGCACCTTCAGCACAACTCGGTTGGGAAAGTGAAATAACAGGGAAGTCGTCTATCCATACCTAATGCTCTAGTTAAAATAAAGAAGGTGCGTTGTGCTATTCATTTCATCAAATTATTCACTCAAAGTACTAAATGGAAAACTACCATTCTATGGGATACCACTTAATATTTTATTTGAAAAACGAATCCTACCCTTGTAGAATGCATTTCGATGCGAATGCTGCCAGTTGTGAACTGAATTTCATGCCCACTTTTAGAGGTGCTTTCCAACTTGCGTGGGTCTAATGCTGGATCTAAAATGGGATAGAGAAGACTGCCTTTATTCTGTCATCCTCCAATGACCCGCCATCTTTTATTGGAAACCACAAGGGCGCCAAATCCACGTGTGTCACGGACCTTTTGAATGTAATCAATATTGTCAGCTAAACCCATCGTCTTACATCACATCGGCCGACGAGCACAGCCAACATGTCCACCCCGAGGTCGCGAACAACCAATCGTAAACCGCCGACGGAATTACCACTCGTTCTGTCTAAACATTCTAGTAACTCCGTTGGCGAGATGCAGAAAATCCGCATAACTCCTAACCAGCCATCCAGGTTGCCACCGATCATGTCGACAAGACTGTACCTTAAGGAGGTACCTCCAGCCTATTCTCGCAACCAAATGCTGCGTATCATCACCGAAACCGCCAGTTTACCCGATAATCGCTTCAATCGCAAGGAAACCTCCACCTTGGTCCAACTCTTTCTCACTACTGCTAAGAAGGGGGGTTTTGAGGGAGGAATGTTGCCATCCGAGTTCCGCGTTCTTCTTTTTGGCACCCTCGACATCACTGATCCCAATACCCTGGATGGCTTGTGCAGAGCGGCCTCAACCGTTATAGTGAGAGGAAGAGTAAAGTGCGAAAAGACTATACATCTGCCCGGTTTCATAAGAACTCTGTCAACTCTACTGCGTGGAGACCTAGAGTCACGAGCTGCTCTGGCCTTCGATGTACTCGACATTGACATGGACGGTTACCTACAGGAACACCTGGAAATGAGACGTCTGCTGAAACGCTGCATTGATGTCGACCATCCCGAACCCGGACTGGAAGATGATCCCTATGAGGCTTTCCGAGATTTTGGCCGTTATATTCAGCAGTTTTTCAATGTCACACAGTTACAACCGCTTACCAAAAGCATGTTCATAGACCTGGTAAAGCAAAAGCCCTTCCTTCTGGATACAGCTCTTCCTGTCTTCCCCGAGCCTTATTCATCGTGCACCTTCGAATTTCTCTTTGGAACTCCCAAGTACCCGGAACTCGATTAGCCGACGTGTGTATATCAACAAAAAGGAGAGGGGCAGGAGAAATCGCAAAAAGGCAAACAAACGCAGTCAAGAATAGACTGCGCGGTAGTTGGACTGCAAGTCTGACAGGAACTTGTACATTTTGTATAACAAATTACATGTACGGCATAATGATGCATTGCAGTCCGAAAACTGTATTCTCTGCACAGGGTAGACATGCAGTTATATATGGCATCCGAGATGTATACATAAGAAACTGCTCGGATTGTCGGACTACTGGAGACTTGAAGGACTCTAGAGCTCTGAATGGGTGCTGAAGAAGTAAAATGGATGACATCACCGACAGAGGGAGGCTGGAAGAGCCATTTCTGACTTGTTAGACTTCATCAGCCAACTATACCCAACCCCAGGGTTTGACGCATCTGAGACTCGAACTTGCGACCTGTTGGCCAGAAGCTAAACGACCTAAGCAGGGAGCCACCGGTTCAGTTTCCCATCGGTTGTGATGGGGTAAAATAACATCAGTAGAGGGATACT